GTTTGCCAAATAAGTGGGTAGCATAGTAAAAGTCCAGAAATGTGACTCCGAATCAGTTACAGGCTACCGAATGTGTAGGCTTTAGATTAAAACCCGTTAGGCTAGTTTAAGGAAAGAATATCATTAATGATAAATTAAGTAACCGGCATCATATCCTCAATTTTAGGAAGTATACGTGAGCCATATATGACCAAGTATTCAGTTGTGAGAAAATTTTGTAGTGACTATGAAGTCACTCATGATGTATTCAATTTAGTGACGAAGTTGGTGTAGTGACGAAGAATTTTTATTTTGTAGTGACCAAGTATACATTTGTGAGTGAATTATATAGTGGCTAGTGACTATGAAGTCGGTTATGAAGTATTCAATTTAGTTACGAAGTAGGTGTTTTTTTAAGTGACCACATAGTCACTCACTATTGTAATTAGTGACAAAGTAGTTCTTTTATATATGTAGTGACCACGTATAATTGTGTCGTAGATAGTACGTAAGCATTTTTTTCAAATTGTAATTAGTGACATCATAGTTAGTTTAGGAGTGTAGAAATTTTGTATATGTAGCAGTGTTGCAGTTTTACACGGAGTGAAAGTGTACAATGTTGATTAGTGTAAGTGAAGCGTGTGAGGGTTAGTCACTGGGCACATTTCCGTCAAGTAACTAGTTGCAATGTTGTAGTCTTAACTTTCATTCTTCGTTCATGTCAAACTAGTGACTACTGACTTCAGCTTTAATACTCACATTTAAAGTTACAGTGATATTGTGATGTTTAAAAAATTAAAGTACAAATATATACATGATCAGTACGACACTCATACTAACAAACACATAATGGTATCAAAAAACAATCGTATATAATGCAAAAGGATGTCCAATAAGAGTAGTATGAATCCTATCAAAATAAACGTTTATGATGACCATAGCAAAGGAAAAATGTCATTAAGAAGTCTAGCTTTAAACGTTTTTGCATCGAGCCCATTGTGAACCAAAAATGAAGATATCATGAGGCCATTTTGCACGATAATCAGGAATCTTCGCAGGAAGCAAAGAACTTATGTCAATGTACATATGAAGTAATTCTGCCAACTTGAGAACAAAAGCACCGCAGAAAAATCAATACATGAAAGGCACACGAGTAGATACAAGTAAAGGTTTGTAAGTACCCGGTCAATTGTTGAGGGACCCTGTGAACCATCTCAATATCAAAAGGGGTGCGGGTAAAGGTATGTAAGTACCTGGTCAATTGGTCACTATGTGTAATCTCATTTTGTAAGTAATTGAAAATGTTAAACTAATGTCAAAGACAATGGACTAAAACATATAACAAAGAAGACTAATAACATACACAAAAATCATGGATTGAAATAATTCATAACAAAGAAGAACTAATACATGAAAATTTGGTCCACAAACAAATGGTTAAATGTCGAATTCGAAATCTGTATCCTTGACTAAATTGGGGTTTAGGGTTAGAAATTAAAAAAAAAAATCAAAGTAACAGAAGCAAATTTAATTGATTATTGTGAAAAAAATCTCTCATTTTTTCCAACATGGGAAGATTTCTAATGTGCAAATAAACACAAATTTCAGGCTTCGAGCATACCAATCATGCGATTACATACTTGCATAATTAAGAGTATTAGTGTGTATTTCTTTATCTGGCATAGAATTAAATGAAATCATGATTGGGATAACCAAAACTAACGAAGTGTCAAGTTCAATTAGATGGAGGACTGGCAAATCCACCAACTTGAGACGAAATTCAATTAAATTGATAAGCAAACTATATGTAATGGTGTTGGCAAGCAGAGAAGAAAACTTACTGTATGCGGCTTGAACACAGAAACGCCGGAGCAAATTAAAGTTGAAGGGCGTGACCTTTTGTTCATGAGAAAAAGCCGTCTGCGATCAAGATAATACGGACGGAAGGAGAGAATTCTAGAATAGAGAAAAATGTAGTTACCAAGTAGGAGTACATAAACGTTAATGAGGAGGGAGATCATGAATTGAAGCTAAAATTTCGCAGGCATCGTGTATAATTGATCTTTTAATTAAATGAGGTCATATTTAGGGAAATAACAAATGAAGTCATATTTTAGGAATTGAAAACTTCACTACTAATATTAGGGTCATTTTTTCCTTTTATATTACTAATCCTATATTGAGCAATTCCTTTAAAAAAAACTAAGGATGTTTTTACTTGGACTGTAATTTTCCCCAGACCAGACCGGACAAGTTCAGACCAGACCAGACCAGACTTGGATAGTTATAAAAATACAAAGAAACCAAACCTTACCAGACCAGACCAGACCAGTTCAGACCAGACCAGACCAGCAAATTACCGTCCAAGTAAAAACATCCTAAATCAACAAAATAAACTTACATCATAAAAAGGTCCTCATTTAAGTCTTCAATTGCGTCTCCCGTGGCCTTCGCTATTATAAAAGTGCCAGCTCGTGACAATTTTCATATTCCATGAGACATGAATGAGGTGTACAAATTAACCTTTTACTCACTGCACATGGGTTACATACATTAACTTTTTTCAAATTGAAGTGAAAATTTCTCCCTTGAAACAATAAATCATGTAAACCTCTTCACATGCACTCTATAAATCGTTGAATTGGTGTGCCATGTAATCTCACAACCCCATCTGCTTCATTATTTTCACTTTGATAGTTCATTTTTATTCCTAGCTAGGTGTTGTATACATACGGTACTTTTCCTTTCTATATAAAATGGCAACTCATAGTTCAAAAGTTATAGTTATAGCATTTTTCATATCATTATCCCTCGTTGATGCTCGTTTATTTCAACATCTTCAAGATCCTGCTGAAAATATTAGTAATCACCACAAGCTTGATGTTGTTTTAAGGAAGATTGGATTGAGTCCATCTCAAATTGAAATGTATAAGAGGTTAGCACTCAATGCTCATCTTAAAAGAGACTCTCCGGGTGGTCCAGACTCTCAACATCATGACACGCCTGCTCGAGCTTATGTACAATTATTATTGGTCCGAGACGATAATTAAGGTATTACATAATGTTGTAGTATATGTTTTTTGGTATGATATCATATGGATGATTTGATTAATAACACGGTTTGTCATGTTTTTTCCAGGACTTCTCCATAAGCTAATAAGAGTAATATTAATAACAACAATTTCTATAAAAATAATAATTATATTAATAAACTAATAATAGTAATATTGTAATAATGATAATAATAGTATTGGAAAATAACTACCACGACTGCATCCAGAACGGTAATGACAAGCTGGGTCTCTACTTGTGGCAAATATGTTGGACAAGAGTTGCTTAATTACTGCACCGCAATCGATCGGGAGATGTCGATCACAAATCCGATAATAAGTGAAATTAAGGAATTACAAGAATGTAATGCTATATTATTCAACTAATGCTTTGTGATAAAAATGTATTCAATAAAAAACTAGTTTTTCATTTCACCTCTAGAGGTGATCTACCGTTATTATGTATTTTATTTATTCACTTCCTATATCATAAATACGTAGTACTTTCATGCCATATATCTAGACCTGTACAAAACCGGCCCGGCCCGCCCGGCCCGCCCAGCCCGCCCGCACAAATTAGCGGGCTTGGGCATATATATTTACCCACCGGCCCGGCCCGGGCCCAGCCCGCAACAACATATGGGCGGGCTTGGGTTAGGGTATAGGCCCGTTCGGGCCGATAAGCCCGGCCCGCTACATTTAGTATATATACATATATATTTTTATATATACTAATTTATGTATTTATTTACATGTACACATGTATATTTTTATATTTACTAATTTATCTGTATACATATTTATAGTTTATTATGTTTAAATTTAAGTTTTTAGTTGTTAACAAATAGTCCAACCAATATAATATCTATTTGTGTACTTAACGATAATACTTTGTGCATGAATTTTAAATTTTAGATATATTTTCTCATTATTATTTTTGTGTACATATTTTTTGTGTATGTGATGAAAGGCCTATATACATTATAACTTATAAGTGTATTAGCAATTTTTTAAATGTTGTAATATTATTTATAAAGTATTAAATAAATTACATAATTTTGAAAAATTTAAAGTCTTCCCGGGTCCGGCGGCCCGGTGGACTACCCGGCCCGCTCTTACGGGCGGGTATGGACATGGGGTTAGGCCCGTTTTTGCGGGCCGGGCCGGGCCCGCCCACACAGGATGGGCAGAAAACTTATGAAAAGCCCGGCCCGAGCCCGGCCCGAACCCGCTTTTGTGCAGGTCTACATATATCTTTAAAATAAATCTCATTTAGTCCAAATTTGTTGTCTCGTTGACATGGTTAGGTTACTAGGTTAGAGTGTGTTTGCTGGCCGGATAGCTCGAAAATAAACTCCAAAAAATAATGTTAGTAGCTCGAGATGCTGCTTTGCTTAGTGCATAGGGACGAAGCTACTTGTTGGCTTGTGGTGCCGAAATATTATCATCTGCTTATTCTTGATAAAGAATAAAAGTATATATATACGTATTGAAAGTGTTGAAAATGACGGCTCAATTTTCTTAAATAAATGCAACGGTCAGCATTTCACTCTTGCCGAGACACAACTTTAACCATTAATATATATAATTTTGTATTAGTAAAAAAATTAAAAAAATTAGATTTTGAAAATTTACAATGAGACAAATTTGACAATATTTTTTTTATAAAATAATATTAGTACATTAATTAATAAAATGTAGTCAAAGTAGAATAAGCGAATAGTGTAAAATTTCATATGTTGCATTTTTTTTAAGAACGGAGGTAGTATAAATCTATTCCCTCTACCTCACAAGTTTTTCCATGTGTGATTGAAAATTTAAGAAACATGAGCAATGTGTTACGATATTTAATTAGAAAGCGAAACAAGTTCTTACAAACTTGTTTGATGTAACCAAAGAGGATTTTTCCTAATTAACTTGTTTGAGTACAATATAATACGTAGTAATTGGTAGAGTAATAGCCCCAAGCGGTTATTTCAACGTGGAAAAACTAATTAACTTGTTTTTTGAAAGGAAACTAATTATATTAAATCAAGCAAACTTTTCGAAGTACATCTAACCAAATATCGCTAAAACCTCCTCATGAGGCTCTGCATAGCCAAAAGGCTTTCCCATTCTCTGGCTAGACATAGAATAGACCACCCCGCAAAGAGCGAGACTATTCGTGAACCATGTAGTGAGAGCTTCGAAGCTTTTAACGGCCAAACAAGCCTTATCGCTTCCACTGACAAATCTAATCCGAACCAAACTGCAACGGAGACTATCACTAGTGTTCACAAAGAAATTAATCCGGAATTGATGAACGCTAAAATAATAAAAGAAAACATCAAAACTAACTAAAAGAGGCATCCAAATCATAGTCACTCGTTTCTTCCCCGGCGGTGGCTCAGGAGGGGCGCGGACCAATACCGCTTCACCATCTGCCTTCAATCCCAACTAATGAAAGACCTGTCGTAAAATCGGGACACATACCTCTAGCGTTCTACCCGGGACAAACACTGTTGGTGCCGCTCCCATCTCGACCATCATCAAAGCCAAAATCATCAACCCAATCATTTGAAAACTGGATTCTTCAATATCCAACTCACCGTAAACCTTTGCTAGCGCCTCAATGCCACCAGCGTTGTCTCCGTTCTCCCAAGCGCTTGCCATGGATCAATTCGGTAAATGATTGATCTCACGAAACATATGGCTCAATCGCCGAAGCTGCTGTTGTTCAAGCCTCGATCGTTGTGCGAGGAGGAGAGAAAATCGCGGACGATCGATAATCACCGCTCCAAACCCTAGGCATGAGGCCTACCCGTCCGCTGAGTAATCACAATAACGGTTGAATGTACTCTACCATTAACTAATCAACTTGTTAGGTAGAGGATTTAAATATTACAATTTGAGTAAAATTTGAGTAAAACAAGTTTTTAAAAACTCCGGCGAGGGACTAGGATTTGGATGCCTCTTGGCCGGGGAAGAAACGAATAGGATTTGGATGCCTCTACCTAGTAGTTTTTAAAAACTCCGGCGGTGGCTCAGGAGGTATTCCTATTCGGTTGGCGTAGTATGAAATTGAAAATGCTGAAAATCACGGCGTTTACATTTGGCCGTTTGGAAATTTGGTTGATATACCTAATCTGCCAGGATGTCCCCTCTTCGTGCGTCACTATTCTTCTTCGGTTTTTTTTAAGCATCGTAATGGAGAAAACTTTCTTTCTCCATTTACTACTGGCATCAATTGCTTTTTTATATCCGGTTTTTCCTCTTAGGGACTTCTGCTTCACAATTCACATTAAGCCAAATCAAGCTTTTAAAAACAAGAAATATGTACTACTATGTATGATTCATTGATCCATCGTTTTTTTCTATTTCATACTACGTATATATATTGCTTTGATCTGCCAAGGCTGCGGCCTGAGGCCAGTGTGATCACCGGAGTTTGGGTGATTGCACAAAATGTGGGCTCCACGCCTATAACCGTGTTCATAAACTTCTTATTTTAAAATCATAAATTAAAAATGTTTTATTAAGTGGCTCTACTACTTATATATACGACTTAACATTAATAAAAAATAATTGATGTCCTTAAAAGTCATTTGACTAGTTATCATCCGATTTTAAATAGTCATTTAACAAAACATCATTTTACAAACTGCTAATACTATCAGTCAAAAGTGAACCCATTATTTGAATATTACTGTTTTTTAACATTATTTGAATATTACTGTTTTTGAACCCATTACCCCAAAAGTGACCACTTTTAAAAAGAGACAAAAAAGTGATCAAGAAGGTCATATATGTGGAATTAGAAAACATGATGTCACGGCAGAAATGTTATGTCACTGTGTTTATTTTTTTGCAACTAAGAGTCGTCATCGTCAAATTTTTTCACGCCAATTACACCGCCACCGTCACCGCCACAGTGACACTGTCATAGTGACACCGCCATAGTGACTGTAATATCACTGCCACCGCCGTGTCACTATAGTCGCCGCCCGTGTCACTGTAGCCGCCGTGCGTGTCACTGATGCTGCGAAACATGTCACTATGGTCGTTTTTTACGTGGCCAGGCTTAGTGAAATGGATGTCTGCCGCCACCAGCTAGCCGCCACACCGACGACTCTCCCCGGCCCGCAACCCAGCCCAACAAGAACAACACTACGCAGTCCCGCTGCCAACAATAACACAACAGCCATCTTGCAACCCAGCCCAAGCTGCCGCCGCCGCTGTTCACCAGCCCCTAGCCCTACACATCAGTTCCCCAGCTGCCAGCCCCTGTCCCCAGCCCCCCTCCACTGCTCCCCTACCCTGTCCCTGTCTTCCACTAGGTCCATCTCCGGCCAGTGCGACCAAAATCCTTGCCATAACACCGCCGCCAGTGGCGGCGGCCCCAAATCGGGCCACACCGGCAACAGCGGCCCCCAATCGGACACCAGCAACCCCACAATTGGACACCAGCAGCAGCGCCAGCCCCAAATTAGACTCATCGTCCGTAGTTAGATGACGTGGCGAAGATGGCGAAGACTCTAACGGCAGCTCTGTCCGTGGAGCCTGATGGCGGCGGCTCTGACAACGAAGGGCTATGTCGACGGATCTGACAGTGGAGGGCGATGGAGGCGGATCTAACAGCGGAGGGCAATGGCGGCGGATGTGACAGTGGAGGGCGATGGAGGCGGATCTGACAGCGGAGGGAGATGGCGGCGGATTTGTCTGTAGAAGGCGATGGTGGCGGCTTTGTTCGCTGAGGGAGTGCGGAGATGTGTTCTGCTCTGTGGAATTACTCTATCTACGAAAGGAAAAGCAGAACGACATGGGCTTAATCAATTATGGAGTACTTTTTTGTCTAAGTGGATTTCGGTCATATTTTTGACCCATCAAAGTTGAGGACTAATATTGGTGCCATTCTTCCTTTTAAATAGTCATTTAACAAAACATCATTTTACAAACTGCTAATACTATCAGTCAATCAAAACAGTCAACAGAATCCGCTATCAGTATTAGCCAACACAATTGGCCAACACCCAACAGCCAACGGCCATTTGCCAAACACCCTCATACTCCGTATAAAGTTTGTGATTTTGATAGTCAATTAATGGAATAGCGAAATTCGACCATCAGATCAAAGATCTCAACGGCTCTTCTTTTTTCTCATTTCTCTCCTGAAACATCTATCTCACCGGAACCGCTCCATACACACACACACACACATATACTTCGCAGTGTTTTTCAATTCTACATTTGACCGACTTCCCGATTGAATTTTTAGCTTATTCACTGCGTTCTCCAATACTTGTCCGCTTACGCTTTGGCATGGTTTTAAGAGGAAAATAATAAGGGTAATGTATAAGGTAGGTGTAGTGGGCTGTGTTTTGAATAACATTCTAAAAATAGATAGAAGAACAAATATTTAAGAATAACTCAAAAAGGAATAAGAGACAAGTATTGAAGAACAGAAGGAGTAATACTTTATTACTCATTTTTCTATCTTTTATTTCCCTTTACATTTTAGTTAAATGATATATACAAAAAGATGTGATTGATTACTATTTTCATTTTATAATTCTAAAATATAGGACTTGATCAAATAAAATAATAAATATATGAAACCGAATCAGTCGAACTAAATTGAACCTAATAATTTTCACTTTGGTATAAACCAAATTGAAATCAAACCAAACCGAAACTAAATTGAAACACGAAGGGTTTTAATTTGGTATAATATCTTTTAGCTTAGAGTGGGACTTTGGAACCAAGAAACGGAGAACCGTTGGAACCGAACCGTAAAATCCGGTTCGGTTTGGTTCCTACACATGAGTTATAAATTGTTAACAGTTCGGTTCCAATTCTTTGTTAACGGATCGTTTCTAGTTCCTACAAAAATATGTCTACTTAACCATCAAAGGACCGTTATCAAATGACGACGACGACGACGACGATGATCTCAAAAATATTATCATGTTGATTTTTTCCTGTCCAGCGTTTATCAGGATCCAAACAGGCAGAGATACACATATGCTTTTCCTGCCCACTTATCTTTGATACTCTTAGTTTGATCTTCTGAGTGTGTGCACTTCATACAGACCTATATTCTGAAATCTTAAGTGGCTTTAGCAGTTTGCTCCTGCTGACTTCCCGATTTATCCGGTGATAAAACTGTTTGGTGTCAAGAAATCCCTCCGCACATGAATTGCTAAAAACCACTTTAGTGATCCTGGTTTTTCTCCCTACCTATGATACGGAGCAGACGCGTGCGACCGAAGACGAAGAAGCAGAGGGCCGCAGGCCCTTGATTGTTTATCGCAGGCGGGGTCGGGAGAAGCCCACATCCGTGGGCCAGGCTGGATGAAGAGTTATTTAGCTTAATTCTTATTTAATTAGTATTGGCTTTTAATTAGTTTCCTAGTTTCAGTTTATTTCCTAATATCAATAATTTAGGAGTTTCCTAAATTATTTTCAGTTTATTTCCTAATATCAATAATTTAGGAGTTTCCTTTATCCAAGGATAAGTTGTCTATTTATACCCCCTAAAGGGGCTTTCAAACTATGTTTTATGAATAAGAATTTGTGTGTGTTAAGCTCTTGAGTTTTGTCAGCGGTGGTTACCGTTAATTGTTATTTTCCGTTCATATTAATTGGTCCGACCTGCCGGATCCCGTCCCGCCACAATGACAAGATCTCAAAGTGAACGTTTGCAAGAATTGGAGAACGAACAAAGTCGCACGGGCGAAGAAGTAACCCGACTGGGGGCCGAACAAACCCGAACAAACCAAACCCTCGAAGACCATGGCACGCAACTGGTGGCCATAAACCAGACACTCAGTAATCATGGTACAAAACTGGAGGAGATTGCCGCCTCACTGGCGGCGTTGACCCAGGCACTAGTACCGCCGATAGTGCCGAAGACAACCGCCGGTGGTGGAGGTGGCATCGTGGTAACCGCGCAGCAGGGCGACAACGGGCTGGGCAATCCAACGCTAACATTACTTCCGTCATTCGATGGGGGGGATCCCATCGGGTGGTTAGCACGGGCAGAACAGCAGTTCGAATTACACAACTCTCCCCCGGGAAAGAAAGTGGCTGCCGCAATGGTAGCTATGGAAGGAGGAGCGCTCTACCGGGCAACATGGCTCAAATCACGTAAGCCGAGTATGGGCTGGGAGGATTTTAAACAAGCCTTGGTAACCAGGTTTGATTCCCGGTATAAAGGGAATAAATTCGAACGGTTATCCGGAGCTAAACAAACAGGGTCCGTTGATGAATACAATGTCCTTTTTGTTCAATTGGCAAGCCAAGTTTCGGGATTGTCTGATGATCATTATTTGGGTTATTACATGAGTGGTCTCAAGGAAGCAATCCGAAGCGAGCTACGTTTATTACGACCTGAGAACCTGGAAACGGCAATGGAGTTGGCCGGGGATGTCGAGCACAATCTGGCCATTCAGAATGGAGGGAGAGGCGGACCAAATTTTAACTCAACCGGGTCTCGAATAAACAGCTATCCACGTCCAAACCCGGGTATGCTTTCAACTACGAGTAATGGCAGTTCGCGTGTCCAGGGGGGCAGCTTGCCGAAAACAACTGGGCCAATAGTGGGGACCACACCACCAGTAACCGGGACCACGTCCGGAACATCGGGGCAGGCCACGGAACGCTCCAGGTTTACTCGAATACCCCCAAGGGTTTACGATGATTTACGCGCCAGAGGACTGTGTTTCAAATGTCGGAAACCCTACTCACCGGGACATGAATGTCCATTAAAACAGTTAAGGGTGATGCTAGCAGACGACGACGAAGAGTTGGACTTACAGCAATATGATTATTGCGACATAACGGGGCAGGAGGAATTTCCGCGAGACGACGACCCTCCCGAGGGACAAGAGGGAGATTTTCCAGTCTATGCCATGGCCGGAATTTTCAGCCCTCAGACTATGAGGCTCCGCGGGATGATTGGGGGGTGCACGGCCACAGTCTTGATTGACAGCGGTGCCAGTCATAATTTTGTATCTTCTTCCTTGGTATCTCTATTACGACTAAAACAAGACAAGACTGGCAGGTTTGGAGTGCAATTAGGGGATGGGCATAGACAGGAATCCGAAGGAGTATGCCGTCAACTTTCCATAA